ATATGGTGGTTTAATTCTATGTTCGAACCAAAAGTCAACGGGTGAAACGGGCGATGATCATTTGGAGCATGGCGGGTGCCCCCTGAAGCTTAGAGGTGACTGCTATGCGCCATGTCTTTGCTGAAGTGGATGTTCAAAATTGAAATTGGCGCACCGCGACTCTCAAAGCCGCTTTACGGAGTATAAGTTCGCTTTTGCACACGCAGAGCTGCACCTCCTTGAGTTATCGTTGCCTCAAGGGAAAGAGGCAATTCACTTTGCGTACGCTTTGGCACTGAACAGTTGCGACTTTCGAGCTTTTGCATAGACTTCTTGCTGATGCCCCTACCTTTAAACAGAATGTTGAAGAGAGGAGTGACATCTAAAAGACAAAACAGCTGGAGACGCCACCCGAACGGCCCCTCGTCAAAGCTGCAGCCCACTGCTTAAGCAAAGCAAACGGTCTGGAGTTTGAAGTTTGGATGTTAGATCATGAGAAGTAAGAACATGTCCAACGATCGGATATATTACTCTTTGGAGGGGTATTTATTTTCAGTTTTTTTTTCCCCCGCTTCTGGCTTCTTGGCTTCTTGCCTTCTTGGCTTCTTGGCTTCTTGGCTTCTTGGCTTTTCGGCTTCTTGGCTTCTCAGCTTCCTGGCTTCTTGGCTTCTCGGCTTCTTGACTTCTCGGCTTCTCGGCTTCTGGGCTTCTGGGCTTTTTCGGCTTTTTGCCGGCTTTTGGCGGCTTTTGGCGGCGTTGGCTTTTCGCATCCTTCGGGCTTTTTGGCTATTGGTTTTTGGATTTGGCTTCCCGCATCATCAGCATCACCACCACCCTATTTGAATCATCACTTCTTCGGACATCATGGGGGGGAACCCCCCCTCCAACCCACCCGCTCCTGTTTAGATTGTTTGCAGAGTAATTGCACCCCTGTTTAAATCAACTCTTCTTCAAACATCATGGGGGGGGGTTGCCGCCTCCCCCCCGTTACTTTTTAGATTTCTTGCAGAGATTGAATTGCACCCCTGTTTGAATCATCACTTTTTCAAGCGTCCAATTTCGCGAGAAAATGCTGCAAAATACGACATTTTAGGTAATCTGTGTAATCCATGTATGTCTGTATGTATGCATTTCTTCGAACATCATAGGGGAAGCCACCCCCGCCAACCCTCCCGCTGCCTTTTAAATTCTATCACACCCTTTCTTGAATCATTGCACCCCTACTTGAATCATCACTTCTTCCGACATCATGGGGGGCTGCCCCCCCCCCCCCAACCCCCCCGCTACGTTTTAGATTTTCTACAGAGACTTAATTTATTGCACCCCTAGTTGAATCATCAATTCTTCGAACATCATGGGGGGGGCTGCCGCCCCCCCAACCCCCCCCGCTACTTTTTAGACATGTTGCAGAGATTTAATTGCACCCCTATTCAAATCATCACTTCTGCAAACAACATGATGGGGGGGGGCTGCCCAACCCCCCCGCTACTTTTTAGTGTTTTTTTACAGGGATTGAAATGCCCTCCTGCTTGAATCATCATTTCTTTGACCTCGTCAGACGATTTGTTGGTGATGCTAGAGATGTTGGTCGGACATGCGGGGGATGTTCAAAATAAATCCGCACCCTTACTCTTATGACCATGTGAGGCGGTCAGCAGGTCAAATATGTCCAGACATGTCCAGACCAAACAGAGCCCCACTCCATCCCAAGCAGTGGAGACACTGGATCCATAGGCGCATACTGGCGCTTCCTGAGCTCCAGATAGCTTAAAGTCAGCTTCAGCCACGGGACGGTGCGAGTTGTAAAAGTAACACTGACGCAACCATGAGGCATGAGCGTCGTGCTGGTCAGCGTGATTGTGGGCGTCCACACTGAGATGAACCCCTTCACGGTCACTACATTGTTCTTCTCTGTCTTCGTAACTGTGCCTTGGCAGACCCTGGTCCTGCAGTGAATTGCATGTTGCAGGCGGGCACATGTTCCTGGATGTCCCCCATCACACAAGCATGCAGAACACACAAACACAGTTTTGTTTGCCGTGCAAGATGCTGAGAAAGTGTGAGAGGTCATGGTCTTCGAGATGATTTACTTTGGGTCCAAGGCGTGGCGATGCGTATGATTGCACGCTGAGTCTGAGTTTGAGAGCCATCTCCTGTCATTTTCCTGGAAGTCGATTCCATATCCTTAGAAGTGTTCGGCGCAGACAATGAGCGAAGCGAGTTGAAGAGTCCCTTTGGCATAGTCACCACAGAAGGGGATCCCGTGCCCATGTGGCTGAACTCATGAACCGCTTCGCAGACTCGGGCCCCGCAAAGAGGGAAGGGTCACATCCAGCTTGAGATCCCCTGGCAGAAATGAGTGGAAGCCTGACCCTTTCACGAGCGCAACCCGCAAGTTTGGAGACTTAAGGGTGTCTCGGGAAATGGGTGGTATTGACATTTGCGATGTGCTGCAAACAAAGGATGTGTTGAACCTTCGCCTTTGCCTTGAGCTGAACACCATAGCCTGACTCGTGGTAGAAAGGAGAAAGGACTTCTGCCAACAACCAGGGCCTTGTTTTCGCTTGCGCGGCTCCATCTCAGCCTTTCTCTCTTTGAACGCGCACGAAAGTGCCTCACGCTTGGACCGCTCCAAAACAAGTTGGTTCATCGTGCGTGTGTGTTTTGTGAGGTCCTCTTTTTGGGATTGGCCCAAGGGAAGCCACGAAAACAATTCCTGAGTTCTCGGGCGTCGATTTCGGGTTCAGCCTCATTTCTCTCGACGGATCGGAGGCCAACGAGAACTTTGGGAAGCTGGGCACCAACATCTGCCGGGCGCGCTGGCAGAACGTGGCCGGGAGCCCAGGCTCTCGTTATGGCGTTGTGGGGATCCTTCAGGTCCTTTGAAGTCGTGTGGACTCAGTGCAGAGGTTTTTTTTTTTTAAACGCAGCCTTTGCATCTCAGCCTGTCAACATTGGCATTTGCTTCATGACCAGGTGCCTATGCCGTTTGCATCAAGTTGCACAAAAGGTCCGCTTGTATTGCGTTCGCACCACGCCATTTTGGAGCATGTTTTCGCAAAGGCAACATGCTTCGACGCCGGACGACAAGCAATCACTTCTTCCGTCACAAGATAGACTCGCCTCTGTGTTTGGACACTCTTTACGCAAATGAGAGAGTTGGCAGGCGCAAACAATGGCACGCACGCGCGCGCAAACAAACAAACACACACAAACAAAAAAGCACACACAAGCACACAAGACAAGACAAGTACACTCAAACAAACAAAAAGCACACAAACAAACACTCAACACATCACAACACAACACACAGCACAACACAAAACACAACACACACACAACGCAACGCAACACAGCACAGCACAGCACATCACAACACAACACAAAACGCACACACACACACACACACACACGCACCACAACGCAACACAGCGCAGCACAGCACAACACAGCACAGCACAACACAACGCACACTCACACGCACACAAACAGACCACACAGCACAATAAAAACAAACAATCACGCGCACACACACAGACACACAGACACAGAGACACACAGAACATGCACAGAGAAGAACCCACGAGCACAAATGCACGCCCTCCCGCACGCACGCCTAAATCACTGACATGTGACATGGCCTTTGCCCAAGATAGTTTACGTCGTGAGGCTGAAAAGGCTGAGGACCTTGAAGAAGCTGAGCAGGCGGGCTTTGACGACATGTGACCTGCTTTGTGTGGTTCTGTGAGCGTGTGTGTATGTATGCGCTGTGGTGTGGTACTACATGGAGCGTCGCGCTGTTTTGCTATATTCTGTGTTGCTGTGTTGTGTTGTGATGTGCTTTGTTGTGTGTGCGAGTCGGCCAGACATGATAGGATACATTGCCATGATTTTGTCACCAAAACGTGCGGAGTTTGCAACTTCCCCTAAACTGGTGATCCTGGCATTTGATTTTTGAGACATGCTGGGCAGCATGATGTCCATGTTCTGCTCGGCTTGAATGGCCGTGGCCCGGGATTCCGGTGCATCGGCCAATCGGATGCCAGGTGATGAGCCTTGCCATGGAGAAGATTGCGATTCTCGCAGAGACCGAGCCTGTCACTTGTCTATGGGCAAATGACACATTTCTTTCTGGTCTGTATAGTTAAGCGTCCTGGGCTCAAATTGCCCTCCTCTCTTGGCAGACTTTGAGTTTGCACTTGCCTTTGCACATTTTTTGCCACCTGGCCAGGTGAATTCAAATTAGATACTCCGAGCATTGCTTTTGCCCAGCTTCAATCCCCGCCAGGTAACCCTGGCGGGAACCGTTCTGACCTGCGATCTGGGCTACAGCGTGGTGTCGGTGGAAGCTTGGCAAACGTGCACCCTGAGCTACCTGTTCACTGTGTTCACTGCAGAAGTTCGGAAGGGGTTGGAGTTGGGATACACTCACAGTTGGAATTGGCGTATTATTTATGTCCGCAGTCGCTGTAGCCCGAGGGGCAACTGGAACTGAATCTGAGTTTTGAATCTGAGTTTGTACTCGCTTGAGTGCGAATGGGCAGCAATACACTTGTCCAGATCGGAAGGCACGGATGGTCAGAACTTGAACTATCATGCAGTATGTGTGAGTTCTGCTCATATGATCCGCCAACTGTTTACATCTCAACATGGCACTCATGCTGTGCTGCAAAAGGCCCACAGGAGACTTAGGGCATCTTAGGGCTGACAGTCTGCATGTTTCTCAGGTAAGTTTCTTCAGTCAAAGCGATGCAGAAAACGTGGAATCTTTGCTGAAAACCGAGGTCAGTACTTTGATTCTGTTCGTGGTGGGCAAGCTGTACAACTGGGACATTCCAGCGTGAGCTTTGCATCGAGGTCAAGCACAAAGCCGGCCTTTCTCAAACTGCGAGGGCCAAGAGGGCCTTGTGAATTAGGGGGACCGACGTGCTGAACTGTAGGTTGTCTAGTGCTACTTCAAAGCTACGCTGTTTGGATTTGGCATTTGCTGCGCAAGCATTTTGGAGGATGTGATTCCAAGATCCACCGTTCATTTGTAATTAACCCATTTGTCTCACACGTCGCAAACCATGCGTCAAGGCCACGCGGTAGCCACCCCCACCTACAGTTAAAACCGTCGCTTTGCGTGGCGGCTTCACGGGGTCATATTGGAGGCCGTCATGCGAATTCTGTGCAGAACAGTTTTGCCCCTGACTCTTCAGCCAAAGATGCACATGGACTCTGAACCGAAGTGAGTTTGTGTTTCCATTGCTGTTTGCCGACATGGGTGTCTCTCCAAGCGCTTGCATTGCTGCAGTGTATCCTTGGTGTTTCTTTCTCATATTTACGGTTGCTGACGCACAACCGGCCGCTGCCCGCTTGCGTGAGCAGCGTCGCGTGACAGGGTCGCCCTAACAAGCCGCCCTCAGCCTCATGAAAACCGAGCATGTATTCAGGGTTTCAAACCGCGCGCATTTTTCAGCCTTTTTTTAGGACACCCATGCCCAATTGCAAGATGTTTTGTGGAAGGCAGTTCCCCACCCCAAATGTTGCCCTGAGCCACTACTTCTATCGGTAATTGTTTTGCCTGTTTTAGAAGCGACCCAGCTGGCTGCGCCCACCCTCAAGACCACCTCAATGATGCCAAAAAAAACGATTTTGCAATGGGCGGGGATTCTGATGGCACATGTCGGCGGCCCTGGAGCTGAGGCCACAGACGTTGCTAGAGATCGCTTGCGTCGCACAGCGTGCGCCTTCTGCCGCCGACACCTTTGCGACCAGAGTGCAAGCGTTGTTTGTGGTCAATTTGAGTACGAAGCGTGATGTTGTTTTCGCACGGCAGTGTGATCTGAGAAACCCGGTGCATGACCCGAGCTCAAAACAGATTGATTTCATAGGCTGCGCAAGCAACTCAAGCGCGGCACATTGTTTTTTGCAGCTGCCCATATGGGCCTTTTGGTCAAAGAGAGATGTGCTCCGAAGAATTGGGGCAGCCGCGAGGACCTCCGCTTTGACTTCATCATCTCCGCAGAGGTAGTGTATCTGGAGGAGCCAAGAGCCCACTGACCTCAGGTTTGATGCCTGGAGTTGCCTTTGATTTAGCTAGCCTTTGACTTTCCGAGAAGTTGCCTTGGGGCCTGGTTGATCCCATACTATGAGAGTCAGCGTGGTAATCATGATATGTGTTGCTGCATACTTCATTGCAGGTGTTCCAGACAAGTGAGCACATGTATTCAGCAGTCTGTGTCGCGGTTTGATCACTTGCTTTTTGTTTTTGCTATCTTGCCCGACCGCCTGGCAGTTTTGGCTTATGCCCTAGTGACTCTCGTACAGAGAGGCTATTGCAGGATCGATTTACATCTGTGTTGCTCACTGATATGGGTGTGTCTTTTTTTGGTGTACCCGGCAGAGTGCAAACCACATTGGACAACTGACATATATGCGTGTGTGTGTGTGTGTGTGTGCGTGCTTGAGCCGCACAAGCTGGTTCTCAAATGCCTGCGGAAATTTAATTACCACGTTTCAAGCATTTAAAAGGTTTGTCAAAGAAGCAGAGCGAGCTCTCACTTTTAGTTTGTAGTCCAAATGAGAGACGTCAGCCCATATCCCCGTGTTCCTGTCAAGTTCAACTCGAGCCTTCAACTCGAGTTGGCCATGTCACGGCGATGCCGAGGCAGGTTGGCCGTGCAGTAGGTCACATGTACATGCATAGGTGTCCTTTTTAGGTGAGCCTGGTTACAAATAGATGGGTTCCACTGACCCGCACGGACAAACAAACAAACGAAGCGCAAGCAAAACAAAACACGCAAAGAAAGCGAAACAAACAGAAGCAATGCGAAACAAAGCAGACAAACGAACACACAACGAAACGAAGATCCGAACAAGCAAAGAAACTAACGAACAAACAAACAAACAAACAATCAAACCAAACCAAACAAAACAGCCACACACGCAAACAAGCAACCAATCAAACAAACAAGAAACAAACAACCAACAAACAAACAAAAAACAAACACACAAATAAGCAAAACAAACAAAGAAACGGACACGCAAACCACACAACCAACCGCCCAACACCGTTGAGATGGGTTTTGTCCCATTTACCAGGGACACCCATCTGTTTTTCCAAAAGGTTCCTATATGTTTACATTGTTTACATTACATGGGGGCCGGCAAGCAGTGCAATCAGCAACATGGCTACAGACGCACAAGCACATACCAACACACACGCTTTCATGGCTCTATGGTCTCTTTTGTCTTGAAATGCTGTTGTTTGATTCTGAACCCTAGCAAGTGGGTATTACACACGGAGGCGCAGCAGGGTTTGGACGCCGCTAATGTAGAAACCACATGGACAGCAGTTTGTGCAGCCACACTGCACAACTCCGCACGCCCTCCCGTATTCCAATTGATTTTGCAAAGGTCTTTCCACGCGTGGCTGACCCTCTGCGATAAACAAGGGAAGCAAAACTCCGCAAAGCAATTGGGTAGTCGGCAACTTGAAATAATCCTTGCAGCCAACTTCACATTCTTAGCTTGCTTGCTCCACGCCTCCAACTTCTTGCATTGTTGTTTTCTATCATGTGCTACACTGCTCACTGTTCGAGTTAATTTGGTGGCAGCTCGAGTGCTTCAACATTGGCTTGCTCAAGCAATGTGTCAGTCCCATTTCTGAGGCGAACAAAGAACGCTGATGCGGAAAGTGAAGCTAGCTGTTATTCGCGGGTCTAAGAGATATATGCAACAATGCCAACTTCATGCATTCAGTAGAGCCAGCTTTTCTCCGGATCATCCATTGTGCAGAACATGTCAAAGTCATTAGCCTTGTTACAATGTGACATCTGATGCTTTATTGGTAATCAGATGCAACATCAATGTTAGCGGCTTCATTTGCAGTTAGAGCAAGCACAGTGACATGATAATTCGGCGACAAGTACGCATCGCAGGTCTCGAACTATCGCTCACCTTGACCTTGACTGCTTCTATGTGCAGGCGGAGGGGTACCCAATCTGACCGAAGTTCCAAGAGTTGCATGGAATGAGGAAGTGCCAACAGTTCTCACGTTTGGCATCTTGATCATGCGGCCCAGAGCATATCTCCCCTGTACAGTTGGGACCTGTGAGGTACACGCATTCAGCTGGCTGCCTTTGTGTGTTTGGTTAGAGGCCATCCGTTATTTTCACTCTTGCTGCATCTTGCTCAAAGATCATGTGACGCCTCCCAGGAATCTGCGATGCTGATCAACAATACAATGTGTTGATTTCTTGACATGCGTGCAACAAATGATGCTCTCGCAACTCTCGCATATGCATTTTGCCCAATTGATTGTTCCAAGCGCGGAAGGCCGGTTGCTCATTGCTGAGACTCTTTCAAGATCCATGAGTTGCATCCAAAGGGGTGCCAGGGTAGTGTCAAAAACGTGGACGCACAATCATATTGAGTGATGGGCACTTGGCGAGTGTGGAGTCGAGAACATGTTTCGTCTAATCCAAGCCGTGGAAGTCGCACAGACACTCCCACACGTGCACTTTTGCAACACATAGTTTAGACCCGCCACTGCAAGGGGCATGCCCCTATATCATTGATGTGTTTTTGCGCCGCAGACATCCTTAGGTACCCTTTCTTCTGGAAAAGTCGGGTGTGCGCACAGCATCGACTTCAGGGCATCCATCCAGCGTCCGCTCAAAATTTCCGTAAAAAAAAAGTAGGTGGAGCAGCGGCGCTTGGGCTTGGGAAAGCCGCCCTGGACCACCAGGCCGGAAGAAACGAGGGCTGCTGGAACTGCAGCCTTAGCCCAACGGGTGCCTTAGCTCTTGGCGTACATTGACCAGGGCAAACTGGCAAACTTCAGCCCTCCAAATGGGTTTGGTTTGGGGAGGGGTAATTCCAAGCGAGGAGATTGCAGCGGTGGTGCTTCTCCACGTTTTTTTTTTGTGAATCGGTGTCTCTGAAGTCGGAACCCCGTTCAGCAAAAAAGACAGCGACTAGTTGTAGGAGGTGGCGTTGAATTTGTTGAACGACCTCTCTGCCTGGAGACGGAATTTGCAGCAAGGGCTTGCTGCCTGAGAGAGAACATGAGCTTCTCCGCCCGCCCAGGGTGCAAGTGTCAGCCAGGCAACATATTCGCTCTAGACACTTCCTATTGATCGATGCAGTGCTCCAATGCTTTCGAAACCAGTCCGCGACTTGGGCGCCTCAGGGACTCCCCGCCCGCGGCCGTGCAACAGCTGGGCACTCTGGGCTGGGACTGGGCGGAGAGGGGCACGTGGCAATCGCGACTAAGAGCCACATGAATGCATTCATGGTTGTTCATGTTGTTCCATGGTTGTTCCATGGTTGTTTCATGGTTGTTCCTTATCTATTGTTTCATGGTTGTTCCGAGCGGGAGCCTTCCTTGGGTCTTTTGAGTCTCGGCACACCCGCTGGGAAGTGGGTTGAGACCAGAGGAAGCACTTTCAGCCACTGCAAGTCATGGAGGACATGGAGATTGGTTTGGCACCAGCTGCCGTTGAAATATGTTTAAGTTTTTGATCAAAGATGTGCTGCGCGCCTGGCATGCACTATAGAGCCAGGCTTAAGACTTGACACCTGCAGCATTTGCGACTCTGTTCACTCATTTGAGATCTGCGGCCGTTTGTGTTCTTTCGACCACTGGACTCCTTGGATTCTCCAGTTGGGCAGAGTTGTTTTGACCATGTAAGCGTATAGTATTCGGGTGGAATTCGGCTTGTGCGCTCCGCGCAAGCAAGCCGGGGGGGGTGGATTGTGTAGTGATTCCGCGTAGGCCATTCGAACAATACCCTGCGTAGGCAGGCTCGCGTAGTTTTGCCATATTAGTCCAAAGAGTAGCTTTTGAGAAGGTGCTCGTTGCTCGTAGGCGCTCTCGTAGGCGCTTTTTGACGAAATAGACCCGCTTTCACTTGTTTCTACCCCCGCGGAGGCATCCGCGTGGCATGCTTCCAGTGTGTGGTTTGATGAACCAGTGGAAGGCATTGCCGAGCCAAGATTTGCCGTGAGCTCATGTAAGCAATGTCACAAGCGTCAGACTCTCTGCTTCTGTTTGCGCTCACTAGCATGTCTCGTGCTCATAAGAGAGCGAGGGACAATCGTCTTTCTCCGCGATTCTCGGGTTGCTGGGTGTGGCAAAAGAAAGCATGTCAGCGAGTCCGGAGGAAGAACTAACTTACAGAGGGCACACCAGTTACATGTGTTTTGCATGGGACAGTTTGTTCACCTTCTCATTTAC